GGAAACTAAATACCACATGTTCTTACTTATCAGTGGGAGCTAAATGATGAAACTCATGAACACAAAGAAGGGAACAACGAACACTAAGGTCTACTTGAGGGTAGAGGGTGGGAGGAGGGAGAGAAGCAGAAAAAATAACTAATAGGGCTCTAGGCTTAATACCTCATTGGTGAAATAATATGTATGACAAACCCACGTGACACAAGCTCAACTATATAACAAATCTTCACATGTACCCTCAAACCTCAAATAAAAATTTAAAAAGTGTGTCTCTGTGTGTGTGCGCATGTGCTTGTGCACAGGTGCACGTGCACACATGTGCATGGCATATTTTATTTTGAATTATCTTCATTTATTTTCTTTCTAAAAGAAATATTATATTTGATAGTACATCCCAGAAACAAATTCAATGCTTATTAATGTATAACTGGTTTGAACCTATTTTCAGAGTGACTATTTGCCCTCATCATGGGGATATCTAGATTAAATCTGTCTTTCTGTAAGTCACTAATGAGTGCGTACATTTGACAATCTTTATGGCAGTCCATGAAAATTTAACCTAGGAGAAAAGGTTGAGCATCTGAAACTGAAGATAAAGAGAAAATGCCTAATGAGTTCGTTTAAATTGACACGAAAAATGACATAATAGAAATTAATACATTTAGTGTAATTAATCAATATCAGACAGTGTACTAAGTGCTTCACATGTATTAATCTTACCACAATTTTATGGATCAGACATCATTAATATCCGTATTTTGTAAGTGATGAAGCTGTGATGTTACATTCAAGATCCCTCAATTAGAAAAGGGCAGAGCAAGGATTTGAACCCAAGCAGCTTAGTACCAGCATCTCTGCTCTTAATCACTGAACTATATTTTGCCAACATATTCAGAAAAGCAATCAGATTAGAAGACATTTAAATAAATACTTTATTTTTACAAAAGAAAAAAAAGTTCTGTGTAATGACAGCACCTAGCACAGTGCTTAGCTCATATATTGTTGGTCAATAAATATTGGTTAATTAATTGTCTGAAACAATCTTCTATCCTCAGTGCACCCATAGCACTGTTTATACCTGTGTCACAGCATTTATAACACTGCACTGAATTTGTTATTTAAGTGTTTCATGTAGTAAAGTACAAGCTCCTTTGTTCTTGGGATTAGGTATTTATCTTCCCTTTCTTAGCTCCCAGCAGAGTGCCTTGTACATTGCTTTAGCTTGGTAATATTAAATAAAGGCGCAAATGAATGCATAAAAAATGATGAATTCTAAAGTTAGAATTCAAAGTGTTTTTTGCTGTTTTGGAGGCATAAATTTTCTATAAACATTTCCAAATATGCCATGGAATCGTAGACAAGAAGGTGGCTTTCCAGTGTGAAATGCTGGATAACTAAAAGCATTGCAGTGATGAATTTCCAGCTTGACATGCTTAACATTTATACAGCAGAACTACCTTTAGGGCCCTTTGTAGGTTTCCTGATTTTAGTAATTTTATCTGATTAGTTGTGTCTTAGAAATTGATAGGGTAAGAAAGACTATTTGGGCAAAAATATGATGTTTTTCTTAGTACAAATTGCAGAGGAAATCCTCAATTACATTTCTAGTATTTCATCTATAAGTATTAACGTGGAAAATTAGCAAAGGGTACTGAAATTTAAAAATGGAAATGTGAAAACATTTGTAATATGTATGTAATAGCATAAAATTTATATACCTATTTCATATTACATATGTAACACCATAAAGTTTATATAAAAGGAAATCCAAAATACCAAAAGATACCCACCACACTATAAGCATCATTACCTCTGGATAATGATGCAACTGAAAGTGGTGAATAAGTAAATCATGAGTTGTGACTATGGCAGAATACTTTTGTTCATTTTTAACATAAATATATTTAGGCCTCATTGATGTAATTAATTTTTAAGGTCTAATGGTGTCTCAGTTATCAATAAGAGAAGCATTATATTTAACATAGTCATGGAAGTCCTGGCCAGAGCAATTCAGCAAGAGAAAAATGTAAAGGCATCCAAATTGTAAAGGAAGAAGTTAAATTGTCCCTGTTTGCAGACAACAGGATGATTTTATATATGGTAAACTCTAAAGATGACACAACACACACACACACACACAGGCACACACACGCACACACACCACTGTTAAAACTAATAAACAAATGCAGTAAACTGCAAGATACAAAATGAACACACAAGCATCAGTAGTGTTTCCACACACTAACAACAAACTATCCAAAAAAGACAATATTTAAAAATCCCATTTATAATAGCTACCAACAACAACAAAAAAGCCTAATGTCATTAAATTATTTGACATTCATGGGAAACAAGTGAAAAACTCTAATAAATGTTAGCTCTTAAAGACTTAAAAACAGGTTCACATAAAAATATCTGATTGTAAAATCAACATATACTTATTAAAAATTCCAACAACACAGACAGTAAGGTACAGTAAGGTAAAAAGGGAAAGTCTTCTTTATTTGGGAAGTGGAGGGTGGAAAGGGCGTGTAGTATAAAAGGAGCATGAACTTGAGACGTGTGTTGTAAATACGATTTGGTAATAAAATTCTTACGTTTTGGTAGGACTACTTTGACTTGGATGCTTCAAAACGGCCTTATCAAAATTATCTGTCACTTCAAGGTGAATTAAAGCACATGACTGACCTTTCTCTTTTCTAAAGCAAACACATCGTCTAAAACCATTTGTACTTTTTAGACTGATATTATCCTGTGAGCTATTCTCTGTACCCAATGAGCACTCTCTTTAAATATCTTCTCTTTTTATTGGCATTTAAAACCTGTCATAATGAAGAAACGTCTTTCTGTTGTTTCCAAACTGAATACCTAGAAGTTATTGATGCATATGTATTTCTGTCAAACATCTAGAAAACTAATAATAAGGTGTTCTAAACATACCTTCTCTAAGATTATTTATTGGCATATGTTACTTTTGAATCCAGAGATCACTTTACTGCTATCAAAACACATCATCAAAATCATGTTGACGCACAGCATAACGACACTCCAGTCAATGACGCCCGCCCATACACGAGTGGTCCCTCAAGATTACGATGGAGCTGAAAAATTCCTCTCACCTGTAGTGTGACACATTATTCATGTATTTGTGGTGATTCTGGAGTTAACAACCCTACTGTGCTTCCAGTCATATAAAAGTATAGCACGTACAATTATGTACAGTACATAGTACTTGATAATAATATATAACTGTTACTGGTGATGTATTTACTATTGTCTACTTTCTATTGTTATTATGTAGTGCACTCCTTCTACATTTTAAAAAAATAACTAAAACTGCTTCAGGCAAGTTCTTTAGGATGTATTCTAGAAGAGGGCATTCTTATCATAGGAAATGACAGCTCCATGCATATTATTGCCCCTGAAGACCTTCCAGTGGGACCAGATGTGGAGGTGAAAGACAGTGATACTGATGATCCTGACACTGTGTAAGTCTAGGCTGACGTGTGTGTTTGTGTCTTAGTTTTGAATTAAAAAGTTTGAAACTTTTAAAAAATAGGAAAATGCTTACAGAATCATGATATAAGAAATAAAATATTTTTGTACAGTTGTACAACATGTTTGTGTTTTAAGCTAAGTGTTATTACATAAAAGTCAAAAAGTTGGCTGGGTGTGGTGGCTCACACCTGTAATCCCAGCACTTTGGGAGGTCAAGGCGGGAAGATCATGATGTCAAGAGATCGAGACCATCCTGGCCAATATGGTGAAACCCCGTTTCTACTAAAAATACAAAAATTAACTGGGCATGGTGGTGCATGCCTGTAGTCCCAGCTACTCGGGAGGCTGAGGCAGGATAATTGCTTGAACCCGGGAGGTAGAGGTTGCAGTGAGCGGAGATTGCACCACCGCACTCCAGTCTGGTGACAGAGCGAGACCCCATCTAAGAAAACAAAAAGTCAAAAAGCTTTTTAAAAATTAAAAAGTTTATAAAGTAAAAAGTTTCAGTAAGCTAAGGTTAATTTAATATTGAAAAATATTGTTTTATAAATTTAGGGTAGCCTAAGTGTACAGTGTTTATAAAGTCTTTGGTAGTATACAGTAATGCCCTAGGCCCTACCACTCACTACTTACTCATCTGGGGAAACTTACAGTCCCATAAGTTTCATTCATGGTAAGTGCACTACACAGGTGTATCACCTTTTAAAATCTTTTACACCATCTTTTTACTGTACCTTTTCTATGTTCAGATATGTGTAGCTACATCATGCTTACCGTTGTGTTACAATTGCCTATAGCGTTCAGTACAGTAACATGCTATAAAGGTTTGTAGTCTAGGAGCAACAGGCTACACCATATCGCCTGGGTGTATAGCAGGCTCTACCATATAGGTTTGTGTAAGTACACTCTATGATGTTTGTACAGCAATGAAATCACCCAATGACCCATTTCTCATCGTTAGGCAACACAAAATTGTACTTGTTAACTTAAGACAACACAGGAAGAGCCTATAATTTGCTTGGGTTAGAAAATCATCTACACAGACTGGGCAGTGTTTAGTGAGTGCCTCCTATATGCTTAGTCTTGTTGTATGTCTTGGGGATACAGCAACAAACAAGACAAAGTCTCCATCTAGTTATAACAATCAGAATCATCTTGTGTGGTATCTAGAGACTGACTGTATGGTAGAATGAGAAGTCTCAAAATCATACACTTCATTGGTACTAAGACTTAAGAAGACCTCTAATTGCCATCATTCTTCAAGGTTGAGTCTGGAATTCTTAATTATTTACCTTTTAAAATCTGCAATCTTAAGATGCAAGTTTTTCAAATTTTGGATCAAGATATAATTCCTCTCCAGTAAATTGGAATATATATATAGATAGATAGATATATATATAGATATAGATATATATCTATATATATATATATATATATAGAGAGAGAGAGAGAGAGTGTGTGTTATAGCGGTAGTTATATATACATAGTTACATGTACAGTTTTTCATTCATACACAGTTATATATAGTTATCAGAACCTATGGTCAGTAAACATTTCTAAATGCTCATCAGTGTTCCAAACATATCAGGGGAACCAGTCCTCAATATTTCAAGGTATGTTCTTTCTATTTTCCCTAAGTGTTGGCCGGTCTGAGAAATAAAGAGAAAGAGTACAAAGAGAGGAATTTTACAGCTGAGCCTCCGGGGGTGTCATCACATATTGGTAGGACCGTGATGGTGACCTCAAGCTGCAAAACCAGTAAGTTTTTATTAGGGATTTTAAAAGGGGAGGGGGTGTACGAACAGGGAGTAGGTCACAAGGATCACATGCTTCAAAGGGCCATAAAGATCACAAAGTGAAGGCAAAATTAGAATTACTGATGAGGGTCTATGTCCCGTTGTGCATGCATTGTCTTGATAAACATCTTAAGAGGAAACAGGGTTCGAGAGCAGACAACCAGTCTGACTAGAATTTACCAGGCTGGAATTTCCCGATCCTAGTAAGCCTAAGGGTACTGCAGAAGACCAGGGTGTATTTCAGTCCTTATCTCAACTGCATAAGACAGACACTGCCAGAGTGGCCATCTACAGACCTCCCCCGAGGAATGCATTCCTTCCCCTGGGTCTCAGTTATTAATATTCCTTGCTGGGAAAAGAATTCAGTGATATTTCTCTTACTTGCATGTCTGTTTATAGGCTCTCTGCAAGAAGAAAAATATGGTTCCATTCTGCCCAACCCCGCAAGCAGTCAGACCTTATGGTTATCTTCCCTTGTTCCCTGAAAATCATTGTTATTCTGTTCTTTTTCAGAGTGCACTGAAAACACATACTTTACAATCAATTTGTACAATAGTGGTCCTGAGGTGACGTACATTCTCAGCTGACAAAGAAAACAGGATTAAGAGATTAAAGTAAAGACAGGCATAAGAAATTATAAGAGTATTGATTGGGGAAGTGATAAATATCCATGAAATCTTCACAATTTATGTTCATAGATTGCAGTAAAGACAGGTGTAAGAAATTACAAAAGTATTAATTTGGGTAACTGATAAATGTCCATGAAATCTTCACAATTTATGTTCTTCTGCCTCGGCTCCAGCTGGTCTCTCCATTCGGGGTCCCTGACTTCCCGCAACATAAACATGCACAAAAGTAATCAGCTAAAACTAGCCCATGAACACATACATTAACTCTGTAATTGTTGAGCCCCGTGCTAAGGGCTGGGCTGAGTATTGCACAGTGAATAAATCTTTCCAATCCCTGTCCTCCCAAAGCTAACAGCTTAGTAGGAGCATTAAAAATATAAATCACCAAGTAAACCCATAACTCTGAGCTGTGAAGATAAACAGTTAATAATTGCAGAGAATGACAGTGAAGGCTAATTTAGATTTTGGTGGGAGGGGGCCATTGGAGACTCATATTTTTGTCTGACCTATCTCTGTGATAAGGAAATACTTCTAAAAACCATGGCTGAAACTTACCATGTTAACATTATTACCTGGTTATGGCTTTTAAAATATGTCTCAAATGACACATTCCAATTGTACATTTCACTCTCAAAATTATTTTAAAATATTATGTATGTCATAATTACATCAAATATGATTTAGCCTTTAAAAATTTCTGTCTTTCTCGTTAATAAAATGAATGTGAACATATAACACATCACTCGCATTAATTAGTGATATGAGGTTGAAATCCAAATGATCACACTTATATGTGCATTAGTAAATGTCTCATAAATTATAATGCTACATAAATCTTACTCTACAACTGTGTGTTGGGATTATCCTATTAATATATTTCTCCTCTATCTTCCATAGCTTTCCCCAGGAAAAGATGGACCAGCATGGAGATTTTAAGCCTGGGCAATTTATATTCCCTTCACTTCGTGTTTGGCAAGAAGTAGAACATAAAGAAGGAGCTAAAATTGTGGACAAAAAATAGTAGATAAGCAGAGGTAAAATGGGAGATCAGTGTAAATTCAGGGATGATTGATCTGCTATGATGTTTGAAAGCTTTTCAGAAGAGTTTTCGTAATGTGAAAGGGTTTTTGAGCAATTACAGTAGCTTCTGTTTCTTGGGAAGGGAAGAGAAGGGAAGTGACTTGCCCAGTGTCACACAGCTCATAAAATGCAAGAGTCAGGCTTCAAATTTATATCTATTTGACTCCATGGTGTTTTGTTATATTGTAGCACCTCTTTGCTGAAGGAAAACTGTTCACAATTTTCCTAGGCTTTCACAACAACATGGAAACTATTTTTGCTGAGCCTAAAAGATGTGGTACTGGTCATAAAATCTGCAAATTGATTTATGCTCAAATCAATGAATTTTGAGCTAATATTCCCCAAATGGCATTTTATAAGGTGTGATGTTTGGTATTTGTAAAGCACTATGCTATGTCATACTTTGGGATAGAACAAATAAATGTATGCCTGTGAAAAACACTTATTGAACACACCAGTGGCAACTGAAATTCCAAAATGTTCTTATACTTTCACTGGTGATTCTAAAGTAGAAGTTTGTGGGTTTCTTCTGATTTGAATAGGAGCATAAGTATATTACAAAATTCAGCTCTTTCCAATTTATTCTGAGATAAGCAGTAGATAATAATAATGGAAATTGTTTAATATGAAATGTTCAGAGAATATCTAATGGATACTTTTAAAATTAAAAGGAGGAATAACACCTCCTCCCACTTCTTCTGCTGTTGCAAGTCCTTTTGGAGGCACTGAGGGAGGGAAGTAGCATTGGAAATTCAAGTGAGTCCTTTATGAATCTGCAGCAAATCTTCACATCCCAAATTTTTAATGTGCATTCCTAAGTGTATTAAGTATCTGCTGCTGCATAACAAATTCCTCCAAAGTCAACATTTATGATGTCATAGTTTCTGTGGGTTAGGAATTTGGGTATGGCTAATGAGATTTTCTGGCTCAGAGTCTCTCACAAGGTGGCAATCTAAGTGTCAGCCAGGGCTGCAGTCACCTCAAGGCTTGACCCAGAATGGATCTGCTTCTGAGTTCAATCACAGGGCTGTTGGCAGGCCTCAGAGGATCCATCCACTTCCAAGTTCACTCACATGGCTACTGACAGGACTCGTGTCGTTACTGGCTATTAGATGGAAACTTCATTTTCTTCCTATGTGGGCTTCCCCTAACCAGGACAGCTTGCTTCTTCCAGATCAAGGTCTCCAAGCAGGAGAGGATGACGAATGGTGGGCAAGATGGAAGCTATAGTCTTTTTGTAATCTAATGTCTGAAGTCACATCTCATCACTTTGCCCTATTCTTTTAAAAAAAAAATTATAATTATACTTTAAGTTCTAGGGTACATGTGCACAACATGCAGGTATATTACATGGGCATACATGTGCCATGTTGGTTTGCTGCACCCATCAACTCATCATTTATATTAGGTATTTCTCTTAATGCTATCCCTCCCCTAGCCTCCCAACCCCAGACAAGCCCCAGTGTGTGATGTTCCCTGCCCTGTGTCCAAGTGTTCTCATTGTTCAACTCCCACTTACGAGTGAGAACATGTGGTGTTTGGTTTTCTGTCCTTGTGATTGTTTGCTGATAATGATGGTTTCCAGCTTCATCCATGTCCCTGCAAAGGACATGAACTCATCCTTTTTTATGGCTGCATAGTATTCCATGGTGTATATGTGCCACATTTTCTTAATCCAGTGTATCATTGATGGACATTTGAGTTGGTTCCAAGTCTTTGCTATTGTGAATAGTGCCACAATAAACATGCATGTGCGTGTGTCTTTATAGTAGCATCATTTATAATCCTTTGGGTATATACCTAGTAATGGGATCACTGGGTCAAAAGGTATTTCTAGTTCTAGATCCTTGAGGAATCACCACACTGTCTTCCACAATGGTTGAAAACTAATTTACACTTCCATCAACAGTGTGAAAGCGTTTCTATTTCTCCAAATCCTCTCCAGCATCTGTTGTTTCCTGACTTTTTAATGATCTCCATTCTAACTGGTGTGAGATGGTATCTCATTGTGGTTTTGATTTGCATTTCTCTGATGACCAGTGATGATGAGCATTTTTTCATGTGTCTGTTGGCTACATAAATGTCTTCTTTTGAGAAGTGTCTGTTCATATCCTTTGCCCAATTTTTGATGCGGTTGTTTTTTTCTTGTAAATTTGTTTAAGTTCTTTGTAGATTCTGGATATTAGCCCTTTGTCAGAAGGATAGATTACAAAAATCTTCTCCCATTCTGTAGGTTGCCTGTTCACTCTGATGGTAGTTGCTTTTGCCATACAGAAGCTCTTTAGTTTAATTAGATCCCATTTGTCTATTCTGGCATTTGTTGCCATTGCTTTTGGTGTTTTAGTCATGAAGTCCTTGCCCATGCCTATGTCCTGAATGGTATTGCCTAGGTTTTCTTCTAGGGTTTTCATGGTTTTAGGTCCAACATTTAAGTCTTTAATCCATTTTGAATTAATTTTTGTATAAGGTATAAGGACTTTGCCCTATTCTTGTTAGTTTAAATTGAGGCCCCAGATCCAGCCCATGCTTAGCAGAGATGATTATACAAGGATGTGAATACCAGGAGGCAGAGATCATTGGGGATCTTTTTAGAGGCTGCCTACCACAGAAACTAATACTTGCTGAATTATAAGACATACATTAATCTCACCAGGATTATAGTTATTCAACAACATTAGTAATGTATACATGTACAGTAATTCACATTTTTCAAAGTTGTAGACAAAGCCTACCACACCAGAGTCTGATGACAAGGACGAGTAGACATAATGGGCATGTGTGAAATTCATCCTCTGGACTAGACTTAACCCTGTGTATATGACCAATGCTTATGGCCTATACCTAAAAGTGGGCAGTAAAGGAATAGTGAATCCATCCTAACAGGATGTTAAAACATGCTGGTGTTCTTGTGCATATGCCTTTGCAATATAGCTGACTTTGCTACTGCTACTACTACTATGACTAATAATAATAATAATAATGTCTGTGACCTTAGGACTGGATAAAGCCAACGTGAACTGCAAGATGGTTAAGCCAATGACCTTGGCCTCTTTAACCCCAACCAATAGGGTACTTGATCCTAATGCTAACAATGCGTGAGTAACGTAGTGACTGCAGGCGTCTAAGTCCGTGGCCACTAATATCAAGGAATAAATACATGGAAATGATAAAGAACACAGCTTATTTTCCCTTTAGGAAAACATTTCCTAAGCTTACTATGTTAAAGTCATCTGGACTCTGCTGAACACCTAAATTCTAAATGTCTGAAAAATGAAAATAATCATTCAACGTTGTGTTCTTTTCGTCAGCTTCTTGATGAATTCACTCATTTCCAACTGACAGCAGAAGGATTACTCACACTGATAAAGGAAGTTTGCTGAAGCTGCCCAGACAGGCCATACCTCCAAAGGGTTTTATTTTAAGTACTTGAAACACTTATGCACCTGCCCTGCCTGGTAAATAGCTTGTCTGTTACCAGGATGACATGTTGCATGGGATATGAGCTAAGATTTTTGATGCTGAACTCCATCTCTTCCATTTGTTAGCACTGTAACTCTGGGAATGTTTCTCAAACTTTCTGAAATGCAGTTTCCCCTCCTGTGAAATAAAGATGATGCTCAGTAGAGGTCTTGAAACTGTGTTTGCCAGTCCCTTTGGTACAGGAAGTATACATGATCCTGGTGTTGCTCCTTGAAACACTGCCTGTGTTTGCACTGAGGCCATGCCTCAGCCAGCGACTGAGTGTGACAAGGATGCTCAGTCCTGTTCCTGGGAGATGTGACATTCCTTTGCTGGCAAACTTCAGCTTGAATATTCCCCAGGTGCCTCGCCAAACCTTCTTCAGGTTGTTTGCTTCTCTAGAACATTTCCACACAACCTTCTATCTCTCAGGATCAGACTCAGGTCGTAATCTGTTGGCTCCTTTCTATATTAACCATGTCTTTTTATTTTCTGGATTCTGATGTTTTCGTATCTGGAGTTCGCTAAGCATGGAGCGATTCCACCCTCTTCCCCCAGGGTTAGCCAATTCCCAGAGACAATACAACAACTTGCTACACTAGCATGCTTTTCAGAATCATATCTAACAATTCAAAGCCCTTACACCCAACCACCTACTTTATCTGGCTCTTGCACTCTGGGTCACTATCCACTTGCCCTAATAACCTCAGGACCAGGCACCAGACAGCTAGAGACAGACCTTTTACCCTAGAGCCCACTGACATTATTGAAACAAACCAGCCTGCTCAATTTGGATTCCCATATCTTTTCATCAAGGTTTCTGCCTCAGCCATTGCTTCCAGCAGAAACCACAATAAAGGGTTTTGCCCATATTTTCCTCTGCTCCCTCTGTCTCCCAACTCAGCCTGGTGCTTACCTGGTAAGAACAGATGGAAATGATACCTACAGTTTCTTGGAATCAGGAGGCATGTCACACTGCCCAGGACCCTACAGGGATGTGCCAGGTTGTGGTAAGAGACAGAGGGAGCATAAAAAACTGTGGGCATAAGCCTTTATTGTGGTTTCTGTGGGAGGAATGAGTGAGTCAGGGTGAGCAGGTGTAGGATTGGCTTGTTTGAATAATTTCAGTGAGATCTAGGGTTTAAAGGTTGTCCTTCATTATCTGGTACCCGGCCCAGGAAGAACACCTGTGTGGAAGGAAATAAAATGCTTTAAGGATGCTCAGGGTATGTTTTAATCAGGTATGGTAAGGTAGGCAGTCCCCCAAATAACAAACTTGCACATTTAATCCCCTCTTGGCATTTGTTTCTTGAATAACCTGGACTAATTTAAGCTGCCTGCTCAAAATGGTATTTGTAGGCTAGGCACAGTGGTTCACACCTATAATCTCAGCACTTTGGGAGGCCAAAGTGGAAGAATGACTTGAGGCCAGGAATTTGAGACCAGCCTAGGCAACATGGTGAGACCCTGTCTTTACAAAAAAAGTAAAAAAAAAAAAAAATCCAGGTCTAGTGGCACATGCCTGTAGTCCCAGCTACTCAGGAGGATAAGGTAGGGGGATCGGTAGAGCCTGGGAGTCCAATGATACAGTGAGCCCGATGTTACAGTCTAAGTGACAGATGAGGAAAGTAACTCAGGTTAAGGAAGTCATCCAAGGTAGCACAGTAAGCCATGGCAGGATCTAGATTAAACTTGAGTTTTAAAACTCTTATTCAAGACTGAGCCTGAGAAACAGCCATAATATATATATCAGCTGTATTTTAGGATTGCCTAAAACTTGCTTTACAGGTGATATACAACCTTTTGTAAACTTGCTTTTCTGTACTGTGAAGGCAGTCACCATAATAATTTTCAGAGCATATGAAATTGGAAGACCATGTGTATTTTTAAAAAGAGCAGAATTAGCCTCTAAACTCTTAGTGAGAGGATAATGTGGATTCCCATACCTCTTCATCAACCCAGGCATTGGTTCAGGCCCTCAGGTCTGAACCCCAGTTGGGGGATCATTTAGAAAACACTTTAATACACCTTACAATATAATGATGCATTTGTCACAATTAATGAACTAATACTCATATTTAAGTCATTCAGTATAATTAATATTTTACTCACACTTCTTTAGTTTTTTACTGAATATTTACCTAATTACTAAAATATAATGCTGAGGAAAATGAAATAATATGTAAATAAATGAGATATTTGTGTTCATGAATTGAAAGACTCACTGCTGCTAAAATGTCAACTCTTTCCAACTTGTTCTGTAGATTCAATACAATACCAAGAAAATACTAGTAACTATTTAGGAGCTGTGGCAAACTAATGTTAAAGTTTATATGAAAAGGCAAAAGACAATATAGACAAAACAATACCTAGAGAGAACATACTTGGAGGTTTCACACAACCTGATTTCAAGTGTTACCACAAAGTAACAAAAATCAGGTAAAAATCAAGATGATGTACTGGCAAAAGAATAGACACACAGATCAATGGAGCAGAATAGAAAGCTCAGAAGCTGACCTGCACAAATATAGTCAACTGATCTTTGGCTAAGCTGCAAAGAAAAGGAAATAATATTTACCAAAAAAAATGGTAGGGGAACAATTGAACATCTAAATGCAAAAAGCTGAACCTGGATAGAGACCTTACGTCTTTCACGAAAATTAAATCAAAGTGCATTAAAGGCTTATATGTAAAATGAAAAACTTTAAAACTTCTGAAGAATACACGAATCTACATGAATTTGGAATTCAGGAACGAGTTTTAAATACAACACAAAAGCACAATCCATGATAGAAAAGGTTGATAAATTGGACCTTGTTAATTTCATTTTTTATATTTTCACTCCAGTTTTTTTAATTGTTTTCAATAGGTATAGCATAAATTTTATATAGTATGTGTTCTGTGTTTTACACCATTGGTATATATTTTTCTGTTTCTTTAGAGAAAGAAACCACTGTTAATGATATAAAGAATTCTAATAATATAAAGAATTTCTTTTTGGCCGGGCGCGGTGGCTCACGCCTGTAATCCCAGCACTTTGGGAGGCCGAGGCGGGCGGATCATGAGGTCAGGAAATCGAGACCATCCTGGCTAACGCAGTGAAACCCCGTCTCTTCTAAAAATACAAAAAAAAAAAAAAAAAAAAAAAAAAAAAAGAAAAGAAAAAAGAAAAAAAAATTAGCAGGGCATAGTGGCGGGTGCCTGTAGTCCCAGCTACTCTGGAGGCTGAGGCAGGAGAATCAGGTGAACCCGGGAGGCAGAGCTTGCAGTGAGCCGAGATTGCACCACTGCACTCCAGCCTGGGCGACAGAACGAGACTCCGTTCCCCCCCACCAAAAAAAAAAAAAAAAAAAAAAAAATTTCTTTTTAAAGAATGGTATTTTCTGTGAGATGCATTGTTCAGTGAGATACTACTATGGTGGATATATATTCCTTTTTGGATTTGCCCTACCCAAAGCCACTCCCTATAATTTGAGTACCGCTGACCCACCTCTCACTAGAGGGAAGACAGGACACTTGAGGTTGGCAGGTAACTCTGACTATGGTGGTTGGTTCAGGGAGGGCACATGTGTACTATGTTAGGTCCCAGGTCATTTTCTGGAGCTATTGGGACTGTTAGCTTCCAGCCTCCAGTACCCAGTGAGCAAGCTGTGCCTGAGAATGAAACCAATCAGGAGAAAGCCAAAGTGAAGAAGTTGAGAGAAAGAGTTCAAATGTAACAATAGACTTTACAGTCATCTAAACCAATAAATTTTCTTTATTTGAGAAATGTAGTTTGAATTGGGTTAGTATAGCCTGCAAGCAAGAGAGTAAAAGTTCTGATTAACAAACATTAAATACATTTGAAGCAAAACTGTCTTTAAAATGTATTATCTGCCTTTGCTAAAAATCAAAATGATTGGTAAGAATCAAGACAAAATCATTACTCATTTTCTTAACCTCTGTTTTCCTCAGTTTCTATAAGGAGTGAATTTATAAGTCTATTTGTGTTGCTGTAACAGAATACCACAGACTGAGTAATTGGTAAAGAACAGAAATTGATTTTCTCATCATTCTGCAGGCTCAGAAGTCCAGGACCAAGGTTCCAGCTGTCTGGCTACATCTACATATGGAGGAAGGCAGAAGGTCAAGCTCCCTGCATAGTGCGTAAAGCCTTTTTTATAAGGCCCTTAAGCCCACTCACGAGGAAGGAACCTTCATGACCTCATCACTTCTCTCTCTCTTTTTCAAATTTCATCTTTTATTTTCGATACAGGGGGTCCATGTGCAGGTTTGTTACAAAGGTATATCGCACCCAAGTAGTGAGTATAGTACTTAATGGGTAGTTTTTCATCCCATGCCCCCATCCCTCCCTCCCTCCTCTAGTAGTCCACAGTGTCTGTTGCTCCCAAGTTTATGTCCACGTTATGTACTCAATGTGTAGCCCACACTTATGTGAGAACATATGATTTTCTGTTCCTATGTTATCTCACTTAGGATTATGGTCTCCAGCTTCATCCATGTTGCTGCAAAGGACATTGTTTCGTTCCTTTTTATGGCTGCACAGTATACCATAGTATATATGTACCATATTTTCTTGATCCAGTCCACCATTGTTGGGCACCTCGGTTGATTCTATGTCTTTGCCATTGTGAATGATGTGGTGATAAACATGAATGATGTGTCTTTCTGGTATAATGATCTATTTCCCTTTGAGTATATACCCAGTAATGGGATTGCTGCGTCGAATGGTAACTCTGTTTTAAGTTTTTTGAGAAATCTACAAACTGCTTTCCAAAGTGGCTGAACTAATTTTCATTCCCATCAACAGCATATAAATGTTCGCTTTTCTCCACAGCCTCGCCAACATCTGGAATAACTGGCTAGCTATATGTAGAATGAAACTAGATCCTTACCTTTCACCATATACAAAAATTAACTCAAGATGGATTAAGTATTTAAATGTGAGACTTCAAACTATAAAAATCCTAGAAGAAAACTTAGGAAATCCTCTTCTTGACATCTGCCTTGGCAAAGAATTTTTGGTTAAGTCCCCAAAAGCAATTGCAACAAAAACAAAAATTGACAAGTGGGAGAATGAAACTAAAGAGTTTCTGCACCGCACAGGAAATTAACAGAGTAAAACAGATAACCTACAGAATGCGGGGAAATGTTTGCAAACTATGCATTTGACAAAGGTCCAATATCTAGAATCTATAAAGAACTTAAATCAACAAGCAAAGAAAAAATAATAATAACCCCATTAAAAAACGGGCAAAGGACATGAACAGACACTTCTCAAAAGACATTCAAGCAGCCAATGAACATATGAAAAAAAGTGCTCATTATGACCAATCGTCAGAGAAATGACACTCAAAACCACAATGAGATATCATCTCCTGCTAGTCAGAATGGTGATTGTTTATAAGTCTAATTATCTCTTAAAAGTCTCACCTGTTAATACGATTACATTGCAACATCTAAATTTTGGAGGGAACATATTCAAACCATAGCAGGAAATAATAAAAATACGTACCTCGCTGGGTTGTATTGAGGATTACATGAGTTAATATGTGGAAAGTACCTGGATAAAATGCAAATGCTGGTTGTGTTTTTATAATTGTTTTTGTTGTCATTTTGCCACTCTTTGGACCCAAAAATTGCATTTACATTCAGGTATTATTTAATAATGGGGATATGTTCTGGGAAATGCATCCTTAGGAAATGTTGTTGTTATAATAATATCAGAGTATACCAACACAAGCCTAGATGGTATAGCCTAGTGCACGTATAGGTGATGTGATAGAGCCTGTTGCTTTTAGGCTACAAACCTGTACAGCATGTTATGTGCTGAATACTTCAGGCATTTGTAACGCAATGTAAGTATTTGTGTAGCTAAACATATCCGAACATAGTAAAGGTACAGTAAAAAGATATGAAAGACAAAATATGGGGCATCTCTATAGGGCACTTCCTTGAATGGAGATTGCAGGACTTTTTTTTTTTTTTTTTTTTTTTTTTTGAGACAGTGTCTCGCTTTGTGGCCCAGGCTGGAGTGCAGTGGCCGGATCTCAGCTCACGAGATTGCAGGACTTTCAGTAGTTTCTCTGCGTAAGTGAGTGAGTAGTGAGTGAATGTGAAGACCTAGGATATTACTGTACACTCCTATAAACTTTTTTCTCTTTTTTTCTTTTCTTTTTTTTTTTTTTAGACAGAGTTTCACTGTCACCAGGCTGTAGTGCAATGGCGCGATCTCGGCTCACTGCAACTTCTGCCTCCCCGGTTCAAGTGATTCTCCTGCCTCAGCTTCACAAGTAGTTGGGACTACAGGTGTGCACCACCACGCCCAGCTAATTTTTGTATTTTCAGTAGAGACAGGGTTTCACCATGTTGGCCAGGATGGTCTTGATCTCTTGATCTCATGATCCACCCACCTCAGTCTCCCAAAGTGCTGGGATTACAGATCTGAGCCACCATACCCGGCCCTACTATAAACTTTATAAACACTGTATACTTAGCCTATATTAAAGTTATAAAATGATATTTTTTTCAGTAATAAAGGAAACTTAGCTTACTGTAACTTTTTATTTTATAAACTTTTTTTTTTTTTTTTTTTTTTTTTGAGAGGGAGTCTCGCTTTGTCGCCCAGGCTGGAATGCAGTGGCGTGATCTCGGCTCACTGCAAGCTCCGCCTCCCGGGTTCACGCCATTCTCCTGCCTCAGCCTCCGAGTAGCTGGGACTACAGGCGCCCGCCACCTCGCCCGGCTAATTTTTTGTATTTTTAGTAGAGACGGGGTTTCACCGTGTTAGCCAGGATGGTCTCGATCTCCCGACCTCGTGATCCAACTTTTTTAAAAACCTTTTGACTCCTTTGTAATAAGATTAAAACACAAGCACATTATACAACTGTAGAGAATAATTTCTTTATATACTTATTCTATAAGCTTGTTTCTATTTTTAATTTTGTTTCTTTACTTTTTAAACTTTTTGGTTAACAACTGAGACACAAATACACGCACTGGCCTGGCCTACATGGGTTCAGGATCATCAATATCACTGTCTTCCACTTCCTCATTTGGTCCCACTAGAAGGTCTTCGGGGCAGTAATACACAAGGAGCTGTTACCTCATGTAATAGCAATGCTTTCTTCTGGAATACCTCCCGAAGGACTTTCCTGGGGCTGTTTTACAGCTAACTTCTTAATCTATAAGTAGAAAGAGCACACTCTAAAATAAAAATTAAAAGTGTAGTATGGTACATACATAAACCAGTGGCATAGTCATTTATTATCAAGTATTATGTACTGTACATAAATGTATGCACTATGCTTTTATACTACTGGCAGTGCAGTAGGTTTGTTGACACCAGCATCACCACAAACATATGAGTAATATGTGTTTGTGACTTTACAACTGCTGCGGCGTCAGTAGGTGATAGGAATTTTTCAGCTCCATTATAATCTTACGGGACTGTGGTCATATATTGTCCATCACTGACCAAAAGTCCTTATGTGGTACACAACTATACTTTAACATCTTATAGTTGTGTATCATTTTACATAATAGAAAAGATATACAATCTTATTTAATTCGCATAGTGATCTGGTGATATGGAAATTATTACACCCATTTTATCATGAAAAACTGAGGTTCAGAGAGGTTAGATTCCTGGCTTAAAGCCAAAGACCCAACAGTGCAGAGCCAGAACCAATGTACTGTGATGACAGGAAAAAAAATATTTCCATTTATACCAGTATACAATCCAATATGGGTCAATATCTGCTAGGGACTGACAGTTTCTGTTCTTCCAAAATTCATATACTGAAACCCTGATTCCCAAAGTGATAGGATTAGGAGGTGAGGCCTTTGGGATGTAACCGATTTTGGATATGGTCATGGTGGTAAAGTTCCCATGATGAGATTGGTGCCCTTATACGGGGATGAAGAGACCCCCAACTCTCTCTCTCTGCCATCTGAGGAAACCAGGAAGAAAGCCCTCACCAGAACCTGGCCACACTAGCACCCTGCTCTGGACTTTCCAGCCTCCAGAACCATGAGAAATACATGTTTGATATTTCAGCCATGCAGTCTATGGTATTCTTGTTACAGCAGCCTGAACTAAGACAATGTCAAAGCATGAAATATTTTATTTCCTTCTGGATACAGAATCACAGCAGTAGGTCCAAGTTTGGAATAGGATTAATAATGTTTTCTGACAACCAGTGAGACTATGGTATATAAGTAGAGCATAACTGCTTCAGTGAGAATTATGTGAAGAAGAAAAGGCCTTAAACAATTGAATTTATAGGGAAAATTCCATTCTCTTTGCATAATGCAGTTTTTGCCCTTACCTACCTGCTCTGATTAATGATAAGGCTTATGAAATGGACATTCGTAATGTCACGAAAACTTTCATGCATTTTACAAAGGACATCATTAATAATCGAGTTAAAATAACCCCAGAGGAAAACATCACGTTTCTTTAAAAGATTTAATGATGCTCAAAGAATGTAATCTTGACTTTTCTGCTAATGAAATAACTCCCAAAGTTTACAAGCAATTGTAATGCTATATGTTTAAAAAATGAAATAAAAAATATCATTTGTTTTTTGGAAAGTTTGTGTGCATTATACCAGTTTGGCTTGGGATAAGTTTGTGTGTTTATTTATTCTTCAATTTATTTGGTCTTCATTGAATAATAATTATTTTCCCAAATGTGCCCTGAAGTTACAAAATAAAACAGACACAATCCTTGCCCTCAAATTTCTTATACTATACTGGGAAAGATAGATATTAGGAGGGTAATTTTAATATTCATCAATAAAGGACATTTCAGATGTAAGCAAGGATACTATGGCAGTCTAGGGAAAAACATCTAACCATGTGTCAGGGTGTCAGGAAAGTCCTGAAGGAGACCTAAACGTGGCTAGATAACTTGGAGTCCAAAAAGGTCAGGGTAAGAGTTTGGAATTCCATGCAGAGGAAAAAGCCTAAGACCAGAGATTGGAGACTGGAGTTGTTGGTGAATCATGACTAAAGAGATAAGCAGTGCGCAGGTTAACAGAGGTCTTGTGAACCATTTATGGAGTACTGGCTTTGACTTTTTAAGCAATTTAAGCAGCAGAATTATATAGTTGATTTACATCTTCGTAAGAGCTTTCTGGTTGTAGTGTGGAAAATGGATTTGAGGGTGTCATTACTATTAAATTTAAGACATTACCTCCACCTCTTCAGAGATATTTTCTGTGACAATATGATAATAAAATATGTTTCAACATATTCCTTTTGACTGTCTCTACTCCCATTGTCCTCTCCCAAACTCAGGCCCTACGCAAACCTAGTAGTTAACTGCTAAATACTTCAATATAGTGAAGACAGCCCACCATAAGAAACACACACACACACGCACGTGTGCACACACACACACACATCTTTGACTCTGCATTAGTTATTTGTTGTTGCAAAACCATTATCCCTAAACTTAGCAGTTTGAAATAACAACAAATATGTATTATCTCACAGTTTCTATGAATCAGAAATTCAGCTTAGCTGGGTGGTTTTGGCTCAGTGGTCCTTAAAAGTTTTGTAGTCATCATGTTAGCTGGGCGGCACTCATCAGCATCTTGGCTGGAGGATCTGCTTCCCTGATGGCTCATTCAAATGACTGTTGCCAAGAGGCCTCAGTTTCTTGCCATGTGGACCTCTTCACAGGACTCCTTGTGTGGCTTCATGATATGGTGGTTGAAACTGGACACCGCCTCAGCCTCGAGATGCCTGACTAGTCTTCTTAAAATCTTTATGGTTTTAGAATTTACCCAGAGGAAGGAAACACAAGTTCAGAGATGACAATTTAAATCACTTGAGACTGAGTTAATTATCTCAAATGTGACCAAAAGTCATTATGTTTGTCTGAACT